CTCAGAGCTTCCTGGGGCAAGACCGGGGCCAGGTGATGCAGTGTGCTTTGGGACATTCCCCTATGCCAGTAAAGAAAGGCTTAGGCCTTGATCAAGGCCAAGGCCCACGAGGTATTATTCAGAACAGGTGAGGAAAGCTGCACACCAGGCCTCGGCCCACCACTCAGGGTGAACACCTGGATGCTGCTTTTTCCCAATCTCGGAGAAAGAGTCAGTCACACGTCCTGGAATTTCCCCTCCCAGAAGGTAGCTGCAGCCACAGCCTTGGTGTAGTAGAGAGGGCCCACCACCCAAATCATATGGTCTTGTCTTGAGCTTCACAACAACTTTACTGTGAGCATTATTTTTCCTTTTCTGCAGAGGAGAAAACCGAGGACGTGAGGCTGGGCAGAGTAGACAAAGCAAGTTGAGAAAATGCCCAGTGGTCGCTTTGGGAGCTGAATTAGCACATGATTCACTTCTAACCATTGGGCCTGGCCAGTGGCCAGGAAGGCGTTACTAAGGATGCTTGGGTAGAGTCCACCCAAGTCTGTGCACTAGAAGTGTCCAAAAAAAACCCCCCAACTTAAGGTCCAGATCCCATGGCTAAGCCGCTGACATAAGGGGAAGACTTGGGCTGGGGCGCTTCCATCTCTGAGTCTGATCTTTCCATCTTTAGAAATGGACAGGGGCCTATCTGGAGATTTGGGGGCCACGTGGAATAAACCCATAAAGGGTGGGAGCAGGGATTGTTGCCTGCTGAGCTGAGTATGGGGGGAGGCCAGGGCCTCTGAACCCAGCCTTCGGGTCCGTGCCTGCGGCCCGGATCAGAGGCCTGAGCAGAGAACCTGGCACCTGGCCCGATGGCCGTTCAGGCTGCGCAGGCCTCCGGGCCTCCTGGACCACCTCCCCGTTCCCAAGGATCCCAGCCGGCAGCCCCTCGCGCAGGCCTTCTGCGCACATTCACGGGGAACCCCTGACAGAACAGGCCCTGTGGAAGAGGAGGCATCTGAGCCTTAAGAAGCACGGGGTGTGAGGGGGCCACAGCAAGTTGCCCACTGAGGACTCGTGAAGGGCAGGCCGTGCCCAGGTCAGGAAGGGAAGCTCAGCCAAGGAGGCATCAAGGATGAGGCCCATCTCAGGAACAGAGCGGCCAGAAGAGAAGCCTGCATGACAGTCTGCGTTCTCAGACCCGCAGCCCATTGTGACATCACCGGCAGGGCTGGCTGTAAGGGGGAGGCCCCGTCAGAGTCATTCCCCTCTGCCCCGGCTTCCGTCACCTCCCAGGCCAGCAGTCATGCCCAGGGCCATGCTCCTGTGGTCCCTTTTGCTGCACATGCTCCAGGCCAGGGACGCACATCTGGGTAAGTGGACACCTGCCCGGGCCCGAGCGGCTCTCCAGGCGGGGCTGGGCGCAACCCTGGCCCTGCTCTCTCCCTTCCATCCCGCCAGGGCTGAGCCTGAGGGGCCGAGGGACAGAGGCCTGGACGATCCCACAAATCAGCTAATGGGCCACTAAGAGGCCGGTTCACGGGAGCAGTGGCTTCCTGTTCCCCCTACACCCTTCCTGGAAACCACTTCCCTTGCCCCTTCTCCTGCCCCAGCCCCAAGTTCAACCTGTCTGACCTTAAGTTTTGGGTTTGAAACCCGAGACCTTATCCTTGAATGAACAGTGGAGCTCTGAGAAGCACGGGCCCAGAATGAGCTGAGCATCGGTCCTGGAACTCAGGTGCTGAGCAGATGCCCAGGACACCCACGTGCATGAGAGGTGGGGTGGAGGTGGGCCGGTGGGGTCTGCTGTGCTCCACGGGCAGCTCCTCGCAGCTCCTGATAGGTTGTTTCTCTCTCTGGGGGGGCGGGGGGGGCAGGTGGCTGAAGTGGAAAGGAAGCTGTTATGGGTCAGGTACTTTCCCCCGTTAGATGCCCACACTACCCCAGTGGGCTCTCCACTGTTAGCCCCACATGTGTGGGTAAGGAGCTCCGAGCCTCAGGGAGGTTGAGGATTGGTCCAGAGCCTCGCAGCAGGGAAATGGGAGAGCCGGGAGTGGCCCCAGTGTGACTCCAGGGCCTGCATTTCCCTCCCTGCCCTCGGCCTCACGGAAAGAACACAGCCCATGTCCCCGGCTTCCCTCATTCCAGCCCGGGCTTGGCTGCACGGAGTGAATGGGGGCTGGTGCGTGGTGTGGGCAGAGAATCGGCAAAGCTGGCCTCTCTGCAAGCAGGTCCAAGTGCCCCCGATGGCTCGCATCTCTGCTTACCGTTTTGGCACTGCCTCCGTCACTGCTTAGGGCTTTGTGTTCCAGCGTTAGTCTATATGTCTGCACGGTTCCACGCTGGTGATGTAGGTTGTTCTCAAGACCAAGGAAAGGGGGCCCTTGGTGCAAGGTGACGTGAGAAATTCTGACAGCTAACGTGGCTTGAGGGTTTACTCTGTGTTGGGCACTTCAACACCCGTTATCTGTTCTGTACATCTGTGCATCTGTTCTGTAGCGTAAGTATTATCTTCTGCCTATTTGGGGAATAAAGAAAGGGATGATAAACAAGAATAAGTCGTTTACCCTAAATCATTCATCAGATAAGCAACAGAGCCAGGATTCAGACTCAGGCTTTGGGACTCCAGAGCATATAATGGTGCCCAGACACATGGTAAGACTATATGTGTTTGGTAAATAAAGGAGGAAGTGCAGACCCAAAAGTCCTGGAAAGAGCCTCTATATGTTACTGACAGCTGAAGGCTATTGACACATATTGATACATTTTCACTCCATTTTTTTTTTAACTAAAAATAACCACCACTGGGTTCCTCCAACACATACTACAAAGTCCTCAAAACCTCTGTTGAATGGGTATTTGGAAAAGTAGCCTCTAGAAAGAGAGGGGAGGGGGTCTTGGGCTCTGTAGAATCAAGCTCATTCTTTGTTCCAGAACAAGACCACATTCGAGTCAGAAAATACTAACAGTGTCTCCTCCTCCTCCGGGTGAGGGGTTGGATCTGGACTCAGTCCAGAAGGCAGGTTTCTCTTCCAAACAGGCAGCTGCAGCCTTTGTTCTCAGCCTTCCAGGAAACAGAGCTGCTCTGCCTGGAACAGAATGTTCTAACCTAGAATAGCTTGGCGCTTCCTGTAGGTTCAGGCCCTCTCTAGGTCACCCTTCTGGTTTCCTGTATGTATTAGTTTCCTCTTGCTGCTGTAACAAGCTACCACAAACTTAGTGGCTTAAACAACACAAACTTCTTATCTTACAGTTCTGTAGGACAGAACTCCCACATGGATCTCCCTGGGCTAAGATCAGGGTGTCTGCAGGACTGCGTTCCTATTGGAAGCTCTAGGGAAGAGTCTGTTAACTTGCCTTTTCCAGCTTCTAGAGATCATCCATATACCTTGGCTTGTGGCCCCTTCCTCCATCTTCAAAGCCAGCAATATTGCACCTCTCAGTGCCTTTCTTCTGCAGTCACATCTCTCTTCTTCTGCTTCCCTCTACCACTTTTAAGGACCCATGTGATTACATTGGGTCCACTCAGATTCATCCAGGACAATCTCCCCATTTTAAGGTCAGCTGATTAGCAACCTTAATTCCATCTGCAATGTCCCCTTTGCCTTATAAGGTAACATATTCACGAATTCCAGGGCATGGTCCATTAGGACGTGGACATTTTTTGGCAACAGAGGCATTATTCTGCCAGTCACTCCAGGTTGGCCCTGGCCAAGTATTTTCCTCTGATTTTTCTCAGATGAGGGCAGAAACAAGCTTGGCAGAGTGACTTACCTGTCTGGAAAGGAGACAGAGCCGACACTTCCAAACACGTTCCAACAGATGTGAAGCATCTGTTGGCTTACTCGTGTTTCTCAGGGTACTTTAGTGGGCCAGCCTCAGTTTCCCCATCTCTAGAATGGGTACAATGATAGCTACTTATGGGTCTTCTATGGATATTGACTAAGTGTTGCATCGTTTCCCTTCCTTTCTCTTCCATTCTACCAGAATGCGGTGAAAGACCCGTTTTTGAGAGAGGAGCTCAGTATTCCAGAATCATAGGAGGGATGGAGGCTGAGGTGGGTGAGTTTCCATGGCAGGTGAGTATTCAAGCAAGAAATGAACATTTCTGTGGTGGCGCCATCATCAGCCAGTGGTGGATTGTCTCGGCGGCTCACTGCTTTCACTCCGAGATCTCGTAAGTACCGAGTCCATCCCCTTGCTTCTGACAATGTGCTCCCCTCCCTGGGGAAGCCCCACACGCCCTAGGGAGGAAGAGGCTGTGAACCCAAGGCCGGATCCACTGTGCCTTCTTTGTTGTCACCCAGAACCAGTAACTGCGGCTTCCCTGAGGTCACAAACTGTCCTCTCCGGGGACATCTGTCTTGGTGGAGCCAAAGGGCTTGGTCTGTCTCCCTCTGCCAGGACATTCAAGTCCTTCTAGGAGGAAATCCTCCTAATTCTGGAGGTCTGGGTTCCTGGGCCATCCGACAACCTACTTCCCTCCTCCTTATAGAGTTTTCTCTGCACTCCAGGAGACTGGTGGAAAACAGAGCATTTACCGATTCCTCATCATGGGCCGGCGACCTGCTAAGAAACTCCGTGCATTAACTTGTTTAATCACACAAACAACCCTGAGGCGGGTAGAATGAATAATCCTCTTTTAACTCATTCCAACCTACAGAAACCCTGAGGCAGGTAAAATGAACATCCTTATTTTATAGAGAAGGAAACTGAGGTCCAATAAGGTTAGCTGACTCACCCGAGGTACACACCTAGTAGACAGAAACAGGATTTAAATCCGGTTCCAGCACTTGTGCTTTTCCGCTCCACCACCTCGAGAAAGTTTGAAGATACACAGAAAGAAGAACTTTAAAGGGTTCAAAAACCTGGGGAAAGTTTCACCCTGGGGTAACCAAGGAAACTTGTTGCATCTACTCCCATGGGATACTTTAGGACTGGCTGTTGGAAAGTTCCTGGCCATTCTGCCTGGAGGGAGATTCCTGAATTATTACTGAAGATTCTTTCTGCTTCATCAACGGCAGGTCTGGATTAAATTCTGTTCCTGATTCTTGCATAGGTCTTCAGGTGCATATGTGCAAGAGTTTATTCCTAGGAGAGAAGATATAGAATCATAGGACTTGTGCATCTTCAAGTTTATTAGAAAATCCAAGTGATTTTCCAAAGTGGTTGCACCCATTTAAATTTCCTCCAGCGGTGTGTAAATGTTAAAATCATCACCAATACTTGCTACTTTTTCAGAATTTTTAATTTTTGCTTTTCTGGTGAAAAGCATGAAATACTATTATAATTGTAGTCTTAATTTGCATTTTTCTTACTACTGCTAAGTTGATATTTGCAAGTTTATTGGTATATTTTCTCTTTTGTATAGTCTGTTTGAGCTTTGACAATTTTTTTTTTAATTTGTAGACTCTCTTTATACATTCTGAATGTTAAACTTTAGTCAGTTGTGTATGTTGCAAACAAAAAAATTCTGTTCCTCAATCTCTAAATTGCTGGTAGACAAACTGATGTGATAATCCCTTCCTATCTGAGGGCTAGTTTGATCTGTGCCAAGTGGTCTTTTATGGGCTCTTTGGGGGCCCAAAGCTAAGTCCTTTCTTTGCCCTGTGAGGCAGGAGTATCTCATTCACATCTCTGGGATGATTCTGGAGCAGCCATGGAGCTATGGTCGGCCACAGTGGCTGTTTCACCCTCCTTCTCTACCTTTTTCAAATGCTCACATCTTCTGAGCAACAGCCCCAGTAGGACAAATGCAAAAGGCCCCTACAGCTATGTGGGATTTAGGGTTTTCAGGCACAGCAGATTCTGTGCACCTTGTGACTTTCCTTCCCCTCCTATTTCTCCGTCTCTGGTTCTCCGCCACCAGGCCAACAGAACTGAGAGTCGTGCTGGGAACGAATAGCTTAAGCAGCCCATCCCTGGAAATAAAGGGGGTCACAAGCATAATTCTGCACAAGGACTTTCAAAATCTCAACATGGACAATGATATCTCCCTGCTGCTGTTGGACACGCCCATCACATTCAGTGAACTGAAAGAACCCATCTGCATGCCCACAGAGCCCGGCCTCTCCAGGTGGCACAAATGCTGGGTGGCAGGATGGGGGCAGACCCAAACTGGTAAGTAACGGCTCAGCATCTCTTGGGAGCGCCTGGGGGAAGAGCCACATCACGGGCGTCTGAGGATGGGCCAGTAAACCTAAAGGAGAGGGGAGAGGGTGAAAGGGGAGAGGGCTGAGGAAGGAGGGAGGAGAGAGGGGCTTGCGTTGGAGCAAATCCCTGAGCACCAGGAATGCACAGAGGCCTGATCTCAGCCTCTTCCAAGTGCAAAGGAAACATCCCCCAAGGCCCCGAGCTGAGATGCCAGGTGTGGGCCATCCCTGGGTGTGGTCCTGTCCCGCCATCACATGGCAGTCTCGTTTGTTTCATTGAATATAAACCCTCCAGTTGGCCAGGGGCTCTCTGCTCTGCTCTCTCACATCTCCCTGATTCACGCATTGATGTTTCCCACCTGGTTCCTACAGGCATTCAAGACGCCTGCCCTGGCCTAGACTTTAGATGGTCCTGGAGTGTTGCCCAGCCATTCTTAGAAATGAATCTGTCGCTGTTACTTGTTGTTACATTGTTACTTGGCCAAAATAAGAGGAACCTGACCAGGGTAATAAAGGGATTATGAAAGCCCTGCTGGACTGTTCCCAAAGAAAACTCAACAAAATTGGTAGGGGAGGGACGGGAATAGCACAGCGCTAGCTCAGGCCTGAACAAGACTCCAGGTCCTTAGGGATGCTTTGCAATGACCTGGCGTCTAAGAGATGGTAGGTATTTCAGGAGTTTGGTAACTAGAGGGCAATTGGTGTAACACTGATTCAGGGCTCTGGGCACGACTCAGAATTTAGAAGTGAGGAGAGGCAGATGGGTGCCTGCACGATTAAGAACACTCAGTGTGGAGAAGTCTTTTGAAATCTCCATGTGGTAGGAGTTAATGAGATGGAGAGAAGTCCAAACAAATTCCTGGAAGCTGGCAGTCCAGGAAGAGCCTTGACAAACCCCCTGTAAAAACTCTCAACCAACCTAGCTTTGTCTGGGGGACCTGAAAGCTTTTTTCACCGGGAGTGCAAACCCAGTTTCAGCGGCCCTGTGTCAGAGGTGTCACACTCACGTAACAGAAAGTAACGAGAGGCAAATATGCTGAAGAGGCAGGATTATGCTGAGAATCGATCGAAAGCCAGTTCTAAAAAGTCAAGTCTGTAGCGCTGTTGGAGCCAAGATGGAAGTCTTCTTGGAGGCAGGAATATGATTTTGAATGGGAGGGATAATTCAAGTAGGTGGGGACTTGTTTGGAAGAGCCTGGGGTGGTGGAGTGAGTAAATTGCGAGGGATTACTGGAAGGACATGGAGAGTGAGGGTCTGTGAAAATGTGAAAAAAAAGGTGGATGTGTGGCTGGCGGGACACTGGGCAGGTTGGTCTAGGGCACGTCGGCTGCATTATAGGCACTGGGGCTCCTGTCCAGTGACTTTTCTAAAGGGCCTTCTCTATGGGTCAGGTCTCAGACAGCCTATGGAAACAGAGCTGTTGAAAGTGCCCATGACCATCGTGGATCGGGAGAAGTGTCTAAAGGAATTTCCAAGACTTACCAAAAATATGCTGTGTGCTGGATACGAGAATGAGACCTACGATGCTTGCCAGGTAACTTGCATGTATCCCCTCCATCCCCTCGGGCTGCCAGTGTAAAGGCATCCTCTCTCCATGGGGAATAGACAATAAGAGTTTGGAAAATGTGTGGGAATCAGGCTTAGATATGGGAATGGGGACATGGATTCAGGAATACTTACTGTCAGGTCCTTGGACTATCAGAGCTTGCCTGGAAGTCAGTATGCAGCAACCCTGCATAAATATTTCTGGTCTTCTCCAGGTAGGCCCCCAAGACTTTTTGCATTTCTGAGACTTCTTTAAGAAACAAAAAGCCAAGGAAGATTTGAGATCCCTACAAGGAATTATTTTACTTTATTAATTTTAGCTACCTTTGTTGAGTGCACTAAACTCTGGGATTCAACAATTGATGAGACATGGTTTCTTGCCTAAAGGATCCCACAGTCTCCTGGGCAGGCAGTTGGGTAAACAATCATAGTGTATTGGATCATGCCTGTGAGTTTCGCTGAAGGAAAGTCTGGTGGCTTAGCTTCTCTTTACTGAAATTAACACAAAAATTTAAAAAGAAAAGCACTTTTTGATCGATAGTAGAAGAAACAGGGGGAAACCCCTCATAAATTAGCTTCCTCTGGCTCTAAGGACGGGAAGGATACATCTTGGGAGGGATCCCGCTGGGGAGCCCACTTAGTCCTACTCATTGGCTGGGCAGTGGGTCTGGTCGCTGGTATAAAACTGTGAGTGCAGATGTTAAATGTTCTGCAGAGCGATGGAAAGGCCGCCTCACAGAAGGGCTGCGAGGGAAGAAAGAGTGCACAGTCGCAGCAAAGGCACCAGGTTTAGAAGAAGGAGTCCCCCACGAGGTGGTGAATGTCGTGAGGACCACAGAGAGAGACAGAATCAATGTCACACGAGCCCTGTGTTTTCTCCACATTCTGGATAGTTTAGAACATTACAAAACAAAACAGACGATTGGGACTTCTGGTTCTGGACAAGATGGAGTAGACACATTTCTCTTGATCCCTTCCACTAAATACAGCTAAAAGCACTGGACATTATATTGTGAAACAAAAATAAAGGCTCCAGGATGTGAAGAGAAGATGAAATTGGAAACAAATATCCTAATACTTAAGGAATGACACAGCAGTGAATTCCTTGGGTTTTCTTTCTGCCTCTTATATCCCAGCCTGGATGGTAGTACATAACAGCTCAGCATCTCCTGGGAGCAGCTGGGGGAAATAACGCCATGGGCATAGACAAACTAACAAAACAAAACAAAACAAGATAGCCTTCCTCTCTTTGGACTAGGAAAAGGGCAACCTAACAAGGTGGAAACTTTTAAACAATAATCATTCTATTCCAGCAAAACACCAGGAAAAGCCCCACAGTGCTCCCACCCCAGCAACCAAGGTCGAGTGGACAATTTCACCTTCCCCCCATCCCCCTGCCCACTATGGTGGTGTCAGAGGAGGCTGAGTGGAAAGCCAGGACTTTAAGTACAATCTAGTCATAATGAGCCATCCCCTGTCCCCCTCACTGTCAGTGGAGGCCACCTGAGGAGCTTGGGCTCCCACCCAGTGGTAGCGGCACCCTGCTCCTCCCCTTGGTGTCATAACTGGCCTGAGTGGCGGGTCAAGACTTCCACCCCAATTCAATGGAAAGGAGTTGGCATCCCCCTTCCCTGACTCCAGTTTCATGGGAGGCCTGTTAAAACAGAAGATTCATCTGAGAACCCAAGTCTCATAACCTATTACTCAAGACAGGATCTGTAATAAATAGAATAGAGGGTTTCACTAATATACATGGATTCCATTTATTAATACACATAGGATAAGGAAAAATAAAGCTAAAAATCTGAGTAAAGAACCTTTTTTTAAAAATTGAGAACCATTAATTCCTAGAATAAATTCAATTAAAACAAAATGGATCATGCACTTAAATGTAAAACTACAAAATTTTTTTAGAAAAAGAAAATAGTCTTTGGGACATAGAGTAACACCAAAAACACAACTCATAAAAGGAAAAATTGATCAAATGGACCTCATCAAAATTAAAAACTTTTCGTTTATGAAACACCATATTAAGAGGATGAAAAGACAAGCTACTGATAGGGAGATAATATCCAACAAAGAAACTATACCTAGACTCTATAAAGAACTCTTGCAGTCAACTGTAGAAAAACGTACTATCCAATTCAAAAATGGGCAAAAGACAAGAATAGACATTTTGCTGAAGAGGATATACAGATGGCAAATAAGAAAATGAAACGACGTTCAACATCATTACCCATCAAGCAAATGCAAATTAAAACCACAATCAGGTATCACTACACACCTCAGAATGGCTAAAATTAAAAAATAAAAAATAGTAACAACACCAAATGCTGATAAGAATGTAGAGAAACTGGATCACTCGTATATTGCTTGGGGGAGTTTAAAATAGTCTAATCACTCTGGAAAACAATTTTGTAGTTTCTTTAAAAACCGAACGTGCTCTTGCCATATAACCCAGCAAATGCCATTCTTGGGCGTTTATTCCAGAGAAATGAAGGCTTGTGTTCACACAAAAACCTGTGCAGGAGTGTTTATAGCAGATTTACTCATAATAAACCAAAATTGGAAACAAATGTCCTGTAAGACGTGGATAATTAAATACACTGCATCTATTCCATGCAATACCGCTCAGCTGTTACAAGAAGCAAACTATTGGTACATGCAACCACATGAATGTGTCCAGAGACTCATGCTATGTGCAACAAGCTGACCCCCAAAGGTCCCACACTGTGTGATTCCATTTACATAACATTCTTTATTAAAATTTTTTTATTGGAGTATAGTTGATTTATAATGTTGTTAGTTTCTGCTGTACAGCAAAGTGAATCAGTTGTATATATATATATATATATATATATATATATCCAGTCTTTTTTAGATTCTTTTCCCATATAGGTCATTACAGAGTACTGAGTAGAGTTCCCTGTGCTATACAGTAGGTCCTTATTAGTTATCTATTTTATATGCAGCAATGTGTATGTGTCAATCCCAATCTCCCAATGTATCCCTCCCTACCGCCCCGCTTCCCCCCCGGGTAACCATAAGTTTGTTTTCTACATCTGTGACTCTATTTCTGTTTTGTACCATTTGTACCATTTTTTTAGATTCCACGTATAATCGATGTATGATATTTGTCTTTCTCTGTCTGACTTACTTCACTCAGTATGACAATCTCTAGGTCCATCCATGTTGCTGCAAATGGCATTATTTTGTTATTTTTTATGGCTGAGTAATATTCCATCATATATATGTACCACATCTTTATCCACTCCTCTGTCAATGGACATTTGCATAATATCCTTGAAATGACAAAATTATAGAAAGGGAGAACAGCTTAGTGGTTGCCAGGGCTTAAGGAGGGTTTAGGGGTAGAAGGAAGTGGATATAGCATTAAAAGGGCAACATGAGGGATCCTCGTGATGATGGACGTGTTCTGTGTATTGACTGCGTCGATGTTAATACCCCAATTGTGCTATTGTAGTATATGTAGTTCTACAAGATGGTATCATTGGGGGAAACATGTAAAGGGTACATGGGATCTCTCTGTATTATTTCTTTCAACTGCACGTGAATCTACAGTTATATCAAACTTAAAAAAACAAGGAGAAGACAAAGCTTCCCAATAACAATGGTTAAATGAAGATCTCAGATCCTAGCCATACCACACACTTAGGGAGCAGCCAATTCATACTGGAGCAGGAGACAAAGGGCTCCAATATCAATTGAAAAGGGGAGGGCTTCCCTGATGGCGCGATGGTTGAGAGTCCGCCTGCAGATGCAGGGGACACGGGTTCGTGCCCCGGTCCGGGAAGATCCCATGCCGCAGAGCAGCTGGGCCCGTGAGCCATGGCCGCTGAGCCTGCGCGTCCGGAGCCTGTACTCTTCAACGGGAGAGGCCACTACAGTGAGAGGCCCGCGGATGGGAAAAAAAAAAAAAAAAAAAGAAAAAAGAAAAGGGGAAAACAACATTTAATAGTATGATTGGAAAGCATTCCAGGGAGAATTGGGGGAAAATCACGGAGGCTTGAAAAAGTACCTTGTGTTCAGGGAACTTTCAATATTTCAGAAGCCAGTGATAACAAGGGTTGAGTGTGGAGAGGTGAGCAGAGCAGGTCACTAGGGCAGGGTTGCCACGCGTGGGAGACTAGAGGTTGTCCCAGGCTGCTCACCCTCATCAGTATTCACACCTATCCTTTCAGTCTTTTTCATTCATCACCATCCCATATTCAAATGGCCAAAACCAACTGCAGCAACACTTGAAACAATCAAGTGTCATCTTTGATGACATTTTCTGTCCCCTTTGCTTCAGTGGCTGGATCTACCATCTGGAGTCTAGGATTTTTGCTCCAATCCCTCCCCTATCAAAATGTACTTTAATGAAAGCTTCTAAAATTAATCATCTATTACTTGAGTGCTATAAATAAATGTGCTGTTATCGTTTTAAGCCTTTTTTAAGAAAAAAATTGTGAAGTGAAAAGCTTTGCTCTCTGTTTAGAAAGCTTTCTGTTGCTGAGAATAAGCTGACAGTGATCCAGGCAAGGGAAGTTTCCTGAAATTATATAATATTATCATCACTTAAATCCAGGTAAGCCAGGCAGAAAGTCCCCTAGGGTTTAAAAATAATTGCCTTTAAAAATAAAATCACACTTTTAAACTTAGCAAACTTGAATAAAACACATAATCACATGATGAAGGGAAATTATAATTTTACGATGGAAACATTTAAATATGTTCAAAGTAATAGCAATAAGATTATGCTGTACCTAAAATACAAATTAAAATCAAATCAATTGAATTTTGTGGTTTACTTTTTCCAGCGCTTTTCCTCTTTGTAATCCCCTAAGGTTACACTATGAAAAAACAAAGTTCAACTTAAAAAAAATAACTGACACCGTCCAGCAAACTATAGAATCAAATATGTCCCAGGCTAGCAATGCAATACTTCTTGTGAAGGACCAGCAAGCATCTGAGAAACAGACATTGCAATGCTGCACAGTTTTCTTATCTTTCTTCTCAACTCCAGCAAAAATTTTGTCTTATTCATGGCTGGATTCCCAGTGCCTAGCACTGGAATTTCATTCCCTCCACTATCCTGTAAGATGGGCTGGACGGTCTCACTCTCCCTGTTTAACAGATGAGAAAACAGGGATTTAGAATTTAAGTGGTTTGCCTGAGGTCCAGGAGGTAGTTGGGCCAGGCTGGAAGCCAGGTCATCTGCTTCTCACCCAAAATGGACAGAAGTGATCACGCGGTGTGAATAACACAGCAGTGAACTTAGGAGCCTCTGTGGTCAGTATGTGGTCAGTGTTTTTCTAACCAGACAAGTCTCTGGCTACCAGCCTTAGTCTTTGGAAGAAAGTTCCCCTTAGGTGGGCTGTCATCAGTCCCAAGTCCTTGCTAGCTGAGGCCAGACCCTCCTTTGAGACATCCTTTCTTTCTTCCCAAAAGGAAGAGAAAAACAATTAAGACTCTGTGTGTGAAAGGACATGAATTTACAGCTGTCCCTCCGGAGTCCCAGCAGTCCGAGAAGGGAATCTCTCTTTCCTGAGTATACAAATAATGTTTGTAGTACATAAGGCTAAGGTAATAATACTAATACATTTCTGGAGCATTTACTACATAGCATTTACCCTATGCCAAGTGATTTATAGATTTTTTAAAATGTCATTGCCAGTAATCTTGGGAAGTAGCTGGTATTATCTCCATTTTAACGACGCAGAAACTGAGGCTTAGAAGTTACTTGTCCAAGCACAGTTCTCTCCCTGTTATGTAAGGAAATAACAATCAACATATTAATAGGCTTTTTATACCATTCATGCCATCATAACGTGAAGAAAATGATAGAGACAGCACTTACGGAAGGAGCTCTTTGAGTGGCAATCCTATTGATTTGGTTCTTGCCCCGTGACCTTGAAATAGAACACGCGCAAAGAAAAGCACACACCCACAAAAACCAGACAAGCGTTAAGGGCAATGTTTCGTACTGGAAAGGGTGGTTTTGGTTTTGGCACCACGCTTACTGGGTGTCCTTGAGCTCCAAGCTCTCTGTTAATTCCGCTCCGTACATCCCTCTGCTTGGCGATGTGTCCCACAGTCAACATAAACTCCCCTTGAACATGATTTCATCGTTATCTTCCCCTGCACTTTACCCCATGACCTTGGAACTCACCACCCGTGTCCAGTGGCACCAGTCCCCAGATCGTGTCAGTTTCAACGCACCCCCCTGCCTCCTGACCGTCTTGTGCCCTGGTTGAGGTCCTCATCACTCCCATCTCCTCTTAACTAGTCCCCCCACCTCCTGCCTAATTCCTTTCCAATCAGTTCCCCCCACTCACTCTTCCTGTCAAATTCTTATTCATCCTTCAAACAAAATGCAGTTGATCCTGTTTGTTTGCACTGTTGTCTCCCTCCCTAGACCATAAGGTCTTGTATCCCAAGTGCCTAACAGTTTTTCCTCCTTGAAGATGTGTTTGGTGGAAGTGAGCAGATCTCTTCTGACTTTCCATTTTCTAATTATAAAATGAGAATCAAAATACCTACCTCACAGAGATGTGGGATGAAGGGGTGGATGAGAAAGTAAAGTCAGGGGACCAACGCCGGGCCTCAGACATCATGTCCGGGAAGTGTTGATTCTCCTCCTTCCCATTAGGTCCCATTCCCGGTCCTGTTGATGACCATGGAAAAGGAGGCCATCTCTCCGCTGAGAAGGAAAGATCGCTTGAACAATTATAGCTCCCCAGAGGGAAAGAACATGTGCTTTGGCATCAGGAAGACCTGGTTCCAACTTTGGCCCCAACACCATGTAACCCTGAGTAAGCCCTTCATCCTCCTTAAGCTTCATTTTCCCTGTATTAAAATGGACAAAAGGAAGCCATATATGTGTGAGGGACACAGTGGGGACTTGGTACATACTTTCCATATAAACAGATAATCATCTGAGTCATAGACCCATGTGATTCCACCCTGGAGGGGTCACATAGTTAGAAAAGCTTAGCTCACTTGCTCCCTGCAAACACCCACAGCAAAGAATTAAAAGGAGACATCCTTCTCCCTCACGCCTCCGGAGGAACATCAAAGGAGACCCAGTTCAGGGCTTCCCTGGTGGCGCAGTGGTTGAGAGTCCGCCTGCCGATGCAGGGGACACGGGTTCGTGCCCCGGTCCAGGAAGACCCCACGTGCCGCGGAGCGGCTGGGCCCGTGAGCCATGGCCGCTGAGCCTGCACGTCCGGAGCCTGTGCTCCGCAAGGGGAGAGGCCACAACAGTGAGACACCTGCGTGCCGCAAAAAAAAAAAGGAGACCCAGTTCACATCCACAGGCCTAACAGCACTCCTCGCATCCTCTTTTCATTCCTTCCCTTTACAGCTCTGTCCAGAGCTTCTGATTTAAGACCCGCAAATCTGGTCCCCACTCTTCCTCAGCCTGGGTCCTCCGTGTTCCGGCTCCCTCTCTGTGTGCTGTGCATGGAGCGTGTGCATGCCCACGCTCTACATACCACGGTTCCTGGGGCCAGGCTGAGTGCTGCACATGCCCCGCGTGCAGCCACGATAGGGTGGGTGTTGATCTGCGATGATGTGATTCCCCTTGGCGTCCTGGAGTCGGGAGGTCCATGAAGCCTCTTCCATGAGCGAGCTGTGCCCTGCCTCACATGGATAGTTTCAAATGGGACTCGCTGCTGATCTGTGTTATCTGTCCACAGGGTGACAGCGGGGGTCCTCTCGTCTGTACCACAGAAGCTGGCAAGAAGTGGTACCAGGTGGGCATCATCAGCTGGGGAAAGAGTTGTGGACAGAAGAACATTCCAGGGATATACACCTTGTTAGAAAACTACCACTCCTGGATCAAGAAGGTGACTGAGTTAGAGGGAAGGCCCTTTAGTGCTGAGAAAGTGATAGCCTCTCCCAGACAAAAATCCAAGAGCTCTCAGGCTCCAGAATTCCCGGGGCCCGGCAGCCCCAGGCTCTGGATGCTGCTCTGCCCTGCATGGTGTTTTAGGCTAGTTTTCTACAAATAATAAAATAGATGCTATTCTTTTTTTTTTTTAATTAATTAATTAATTAACTAATTTTTGGCTGTGTTGGGTCTTCATTTCTGTGCGAGGAGTTTCTCTAGTTGCGGCGGGTGGGGGCCACTCTTCATCACGGTACGCGGGCCTCTCACTGCTGTGACCTCTCCCGTTGCAGAGCACAGGCTCCGGACGCGCAGGCTCAGCGGCCATGGCTCACGGGCCCCAGCCGCTCCGCGGCATGTGGGATCTTCCTGGACCGGGGCACGAACCCGTGTCCCCTGCATCGGCAGGCGGACTCTCAACCACTGTGCCACCAGGGAAGCCCTAAATTGGTGAACTTTGAACAAGCAGATTGTCCTCCATAATGTGGGTGGGCCTCATCCAATTAGTTGAAGTCCTGAAAAGAACAAAAAGCCCAGCCTCCTCAAGCAAGAGGGCGTGTCTCCAGCAGACTGCCCGTGGATTTCATCTGCACTTTTGCCTCTCCTGGCTCTCCACCTGCCCCTCAGCTCTCCTGGGCGTTGAACCTGCCAGCCCACACTGCAGATTTGAACTTGCCAATCTCCCTAATCACATGATCCAATTCCTCGTAACAAATACACCCACACAGACACACACACACACACACACACACACACACTGCCTTACACCTTTCTCTGGAGAACTCTGACTAATACAGATTTTAGGACCGAGTGGTTCTAGAGACACAAAATCTTAAAGATGAATTTTCTGAATTGGTGCTGTGATTTCTAGAATTAGCTCTCCAGTCAGATTAGATTGAAAGACACTAATGACTCTATTTCCAGTAGTAAAAAGAGCACTGGCAGTCCATGAAGGGACGGGGCAAGAGAGAGAAGCAAAATATCACCACTGGAAACTCCTAACCCGACACTCGTGGGAAGCTGGGACCTGGGTGGCCGTGTGTGTGATACTTTCAAACATTCCTTCAAACTGATGAGCATAATGAGATTGGCCGGTTGCTCGTAATGTTACCGGACAAAGTGGGGAAAGAAGAGTTTGAGCTCAGGGATTCGAATTCCTAGCTCAAGGGCCCCGTAAATGACCTGAAAGCTTCTATGTCTGCCCTGAAGGAGACCCTTACCCGCTGTAGCCACAGGGCTGAAAGGCTGAAAATCAGACCCGCAATCTCCCCCTGTGACTGACTGAATTACAATGCGAGTTGAACTCCCAGCCTCCCAGGGTGTCTCCTGCTAAACCCAGGCCACGGACTGGGAAGGAATGGGATCCTGCAAGTTGGAATGGGGGTGTGTGGGAAGACCCTGATGGAGCTGGGGAACTTGAACCCTAAATTCTGATGCATCTCCTCTGCCAGTGGCAGCAGTCTCTCTGTCCCCAGGAGAAGTGGCCTCTCCACCCCCGCCCGTCCCAGGGTGTTAACCCTGCGTTACCTGCGGAAAGGGTAATGACCGCCCCTGAGGCAGCTGACAAGCAAGACATCGCTGGTTCTCCCCAGTGTCGACCCCACCACCGCTCTTGGCTTCTAGACCTCTGAGCAGACTCAAGTCCCAGCAGCCCCTAAAGTGAGGTACAGAGCGTGACCCGTGAGGAGGTGCACTACCGTCTGCGTTTTCTAACTCCTGCAGACAGAAACCCGGGCCACACGTGTGGGGATGGGTATTAAGGCTATGGGATAAATCGTGGAAGGAACGGAAAGTTGGATCGGGCGGCATTTTTTGCCATGGGCTCACTAAGCAGGGATTCTGCACCTAATTTTGCATCTTGGGGAAGAAGACAGGGCTCTAACAGTTTGCTTCGCTGCTTGGCTGAAATATGGCCAAAAGGAGACCCACAGTGAGTGAATTAGAATTGCCAGACCTGCTTTGGTTTAATGTAGAGAAAGGGATTCCATGACTTAGGGAGACGGGAATGTTCGAGTGAGTTTGTCATATGAAACCTACTCACTTCCCCACCCTGGGAAGGACCAGAAGACATGCCTTTCACCACGACTGTGAGAGATAAACTTGAGAGGGAAGCCCTGGCATCCCTGGTTCTTCTCTGTGGGCCAGACTTCACAGAGGGAAATGCAGTCACGGAATTGGGACATGTAACCACAATGAGAGTGATTGGATCCGTGGTGGCAGGGACCAGAGGCAGCACTCAAGCCCCGAGGGCAAGGAGGGAATGGTCCCTGTGATGGACAGCAGGGTCAATGCTGCAATCAGAATGTCCTGACTCCTGCAGACCATGGCTGGCTAGCTCGTCATGGGGTTCCTAGAAGTGAAATAGACAGGAAGCCTACTAATTCTTACTTGTTCTGTGTAAGCAGAAAAGTTCTAGGTCAAGTGAACAAGAGTCTAACTTGAATCATAAAAACAAGAGTCATGGCTTGTTAATTCTCAGACTGGAGCCACTTTATAGACTCAGAACCCCTTGAATGAAGGACCCTAGTACACTATGGAATATTTATACTGTTAATCATTCTCCCAGCCTTCCCCAAAAGGACCCACAGGCTTTTGCCAACTGTGCATTGGGGAAGAGGAAATAATCAGACCTTTTAGGGACTACTGGATGCTGACTCTGAACTCACTGGTTCCCTTCTCTGCGGAGACAGAGATATTATGATGGGAAAGGCCAAGTGGAAGCAACTAGAACTGCCCCTACCTAGGAAAATAGTCAACCACAGAAGCAGCCCTGCATTCCTGGAGGGATTACAGACATTAGTGCAATCATCAAGTACTTAAAAAACCCAAGGGTGGTGATTCCCACCACATCCCCAATTCAGCTCTCCCATCTGGCCTCGGCAGAAGACTGTCGGGTCTTTGAGAATGACAGAGGATTATTGTAAGCTTGCCAAGGTGGCGACTCCAATTCCAGCTCAGATGTGATTTCATTGCTTGAGTAAAGTGACACATCTCTTCCAGTATCCGCTATGCAGGTCTTGATCTGAAAGAATGCCTGTTTTCTGCATTCCTGTCCGTGAGATCCACCAGAAGCAGTTTGTTCTCTGCTGACAAGGCCAGCATTACACCTTTACTGTCCCACCTCAGGTGGATATCAACTCTCCGGGCCTATGTCATAGTTTAGTTCGCAGGGATCTTGATCACAAGACCGCATTCACTTGCACACGATAGCGCACTGGTGCATTACACTTATGACATAATGCTGACTGGACCTAGTGAGCAAGAAGTAGCACCTGGGCTTCCCTGGTGGCACAGTGGTTGAGAGTCCGCCTGCCGATGCAGGGGACACGGGTTTGTGCCCCGGTCCGGGAAGATCCCACATGCCGCGGAGCGGCTGGGCCCGTGAGCCATGGCCGCTGAGCCTGCGCGTCTGGAGCCTGTGCTCTGCAACGGGAGAGGCCACAACAGTGAGAGGCCCGCGTACCGCAAAACAACAAAATTTTTTTAAAAAGCCTGGGGGTGGGAAATAAACCCAACAAGTTTCAGGGGTCTTCCACCTCGGTGAAATTTCTAGGGGTCCAGTGGGGTGGGGCATGTGGAGTTTTTCCTTCTAACCCTGGAGGCAACTTCATTTTGGCCGCGAGGGAGGAAAGGGAGAGAGTGACAGCAGATCAGAAGCCAGGGAAGGAGGCGAGGGGCGCGGCAGCCAGGCGGCGGCGGAGATGGAGTCGATGGGGAGGGGTAGGTGAGGAAGTGTCCGTGTTTCCTGCCGTCTCTGCCATCCATCATCCTCTCCCGGAGCGGAAATCAATATTCCTCTCTCTTGTTCTCTCCCCAAATGTTCTGAATTTAGAAAAGAAAGAGCAAACCCTGACAAATGCATATTGTTTTCCAAATATAAATGCCGCACCGCTTCCGCCCCCGCGCAGATGTCACCCCCTCTTCCCGGCTGCCCGGGTGTCGGTGTCGCCGGCCTGGGCGCTCTGCCACGACCGCTGTGGGCGCAGATGGAGCCCATGAAGTGGACTGCTGGCCGCCACTCGAGGTCACCTGGTTTCCTAAGAAGCAGATTCTCGGCAATTTCTCACAGGAGGAGCATTTGCAACTCAAAGCTCTGCTGGCATCCTTTCCCCATCCCTCCCCGCCCGAACACAGCTCGCTCGTTTGGAAAGTAACTGTGAAACCTTTTACCCCTCCTGTTGAAAAGCACCTTCTCACCCATCCCTTTTGCCTGTAGAGGTAGCAGGGCAGAGAGGACCACTCCCACTGCTCATATGAGGAAGCCGAGGCTCAGAGAAGGGAAGGCGTTCACTCGGACTGAACAGTGCTAAGAATGTGGATGGGAGCAGGGGGGTGATGCCGAAAGCTCAGCTTCTCTGTGTGCCAGTGCTGAATCAAATCTCGGAGACAGAGTTTTGGGTGAAGTAGAAAAGAATAGCTTTATTACTTTGCCAGGCAAAAGGGGACACAGTGGGCTCCTGCATCGAAAAACTATGTGTCCCCACCCAGGAGGATGTGATGAGAAGTTTTATAACAGTACTTCAAGGGCGGGGTTGCTGACAAGATGAGGGTGTGTGCAGGGTCTCAGCTGGTCCGTCTCCTAATCTTGACAGGCTTCTCTGGTCCCTTTAATCTCGCCTCAGGTGGTTCCTTGATTAGCAACTGTTCGAATCTGCCCTTTGGAACTCAGGGAAGGTCATGGAGGCTGGAGTCTTGCTTACAAGAAACGGGGGACAAAAAGAGGCCTCCGTGCCCAGGCCCCACTCGGTTTCAGGGGTAGACACGTTGGAGCCCCCAGGGCACCCCAGGAGCCCAAGTGGCCTGGCCTCTAATTCCACTGCTCCCTTGCTGCTGAAGTCTGGAATGTCTCAGATTCCCTGGCCTCCAGGCTCCCCGAGGAGCAGGCAGAATACACACCATGCAACCCTCCTTGTTAATAAAGGCTGCCATGTGCATAATGCTTCCTACACGTCAACCGCCCTTGTAAATACTCTTATATGTATTAAGATCTTGTTGCTGAAATCTCGGCTTCTGTACACCCATGCCAAATAGAAATACGGAGACAGAATTCAGGAGGAAAGCGAAAGAATAGCTTTATTTCTTTGCCAGGCAAAGAGGGAACACAGCAGGCTAGCACCTCCAAAAACTGCGCCCCCCTTGGAGAAGCTTTATAGTAATGGTTCAAAGAAGGTGTGATCAGCTTATGGACATTTTTCTGATTGGTTGGTGGTGAGGTAATTGGGAGTTGGCATCATCAACCTTCTGCTTCCAACTGGTCTGGGTTCTACATGCTTGTGGGAAGCACACCATCTTTAACTGTTAACTTTTCCTACCTGGAGGGGGTATCTGCAAAACAGCTCAAAGATACTGTGTCCCTTGATGGGGAACCAGGACCCTGCCCCAAGGCAGCACTATTGTTTCTCTTGACTGCTCCTCCCTTGTCTCCCATCCCTTCCCTTCCCTAATTAACAACTGCTTGAATCTGCCCACTGGAACTCAGGGAAGGTCATGGAGGCTGAATGAAGCCTATTTCCTGTAATCAAAGAAATGGGGGACACAGAAAGGCTTTGTGCCCAGGAGCCCCACGGGGGCTCAGTGTCAATCCCCCTGAATCAGAGTAACCCTATGAAATAGGTACTACCACTGGGCCTTGTTTACAGACTGAGGAAACCAAGGCCCAAGGTCACAGGGCTCTGAGGAGGTGGGGCTGTATTCACACCAAACCAGTCTGGCCTAGATGGAGGAGGACTGAGCCCTTGGGCCACCCTGCCTCTGGACACTGTCCAAGGCAAGGACACTGACCCACAGGTCTGATACCTGGGTTCAGGTATCACTCACTCTTTGAGGAACTTGGTCACACTTGTTCAAATTTTGTGTCCTCCTTGGTCAAAGGAATCTCTAGAGAAAGTTACAGAGTAAAAACCCATGATTTCTCGTTTGTACGCATGTAGCGAGAGCACCTCAGCTCTTTATCCTGGATCCTGGAAGAGCAATGGAACAGGGGAGGAGGCTCCTCCTTCTCCTCTAGACTGAGGTTCTTCCACGGGGAACATGGAAGCCATCCGTCAATAAGCCACTCAGTCAACACACATTTATTAAGCACCTACAGTGCCCCTAGGTCCGGGCATATCACTGTGATCAGGTAGGCATGGGGAATGTCTCTCTGGAGCTTGTATTGTGGTAGGGAAGCCAGCATTGGACAGGAAATGACAGAGTGACAAATCTCACTGAAGGGAAGCCCAGTGTTCAATGTTGCTAACAGTCTACAATTCCTGTAGCACTCCAGAAGTCTCTGTGCTTTAAGCTGTTTGCAGTCTGCAGTCATCTCTTCGAGCAAGGTTAACGATGGAAATGGTTAGCTTGGATTGCTGGGGTGAGCAGGGTAATGGGGACATAAGCAAACCTGTGGACAGTGAAAGGACTGAATAATCTACATAAGAAAGGGCATGTGGTCACGTGGAGAAGAAAAGATGAAGATGGGGCACAGGTGTCTAACCTGGAGACCAGGGCTTCCTGCCGCCTTTAGAGATAGCTGGTCCCCTACACTTATCCCACGGACAATACAGGATGACAGGCTTTTTACAATAACATTCAACCAACATTTGATGAGAACAGAGGAAGTGCCGGCACTTGCTAAACAAAGAACAAGATAGACAAGGTCTCTGAGCTACTCACCATCAAAGCTTTGTGTAACGCAAAAAAAAAAACCAACCAAAAACAAAAACAAAAAAACCACAGGGCTGCCTTGAGGCCAGCCTCAGCTGCTGTTGCATTCGGAATAAATACATACCCCAGTCCAGAAACTCTGAGGTGCATCAGAGGTCTTTACTGGAAGTTTTCTTGAAGAGATAACACTGGATTCACATCAAAACTTGCCACAAGGCGTCTAGTAGCAGCTCTCTTTCCCAAAATGCACATTTCACAGCAGCTACTCAAATTCATCCCTCCGCCCTTTTGAATTCCCAGTCTCCCTGGTCTTCGTCCCCACTCCTGCCTGTCCCATGGGCAAAAGACCTTCCCCACCCTCTTCCCCTCCTCCCGAGTATCTCATCCCCTCTCTTATGCATTTCACTGGAGATTCTTTCATTTCCTTCAAGTCCACTTTTGCACATGTGTCCCTGGCCAACGTCACAAAAGCCAAATACAGCAATCCAGGCTCCCGGTCTGTCTTCCAGGTCTCCTTCTCATCCTCTCTCTGGTTGGGGTATTCACTCCCTCGTTCTTCAGTCCCCAGTCTCTTCTTTCTCCATCCTCTCTTGATCCATAGATGGGGGACTCACTCAGTGTCCTGCCTTCAACCAGGAATACTGATTTGCATTTCTCTCAGCAGAATCAACCAGCTCTTCCTTGATGATTCCAGCAAGCCCAGTCCCTTGGCTGTAGTTTCTCCAGACAGTAGGTAGGGAGAGTGGAAATCTCATTCATCTATTTTCTGCTAAACCTTTTCGTTTATCTTTACTCCCAACTCCTAAAACTCAAGTGACTACACACACTGTCTTACTCACAAAAAGCACTCCACCTTCACTGGACCTGTTTCTGTTATGGGACCCGCATCATTCTCTTTTGGCCAGACCTGAAACCTTAGAGCTGATGTTCTGCACCGGTGCCCAGGGCAAAGACTCAGACTCATGGATGACCTAATAGAGGGCTGTAAAACTCCTTGAAATTGTATACACTCACAAAACTAAAGACCACATATTGGGACTGAGAGGAAATATTTGCAAACACATATGTCAGACAGAGGACTTCTATCCAGAATATATAAAGAATCCTTGCAACTCAACTCAATTTAAAATTGGGCAAAAGATTTAACAGGCAATTTACAAAAGATTTATGAGTGATCAATAGGCACATGAAAAGATGCTCAACTTTATTAGTCATCAGAGGAATGCAAATTAAAACCACAAGGAGATACCACTATGTATTCACTAGAACAGCTAAAATTTCAGACTGGTAGTACCAAGTGTTGACAAGGATATAGAGAAACTGGATTTCTCATACAAGGCCGATGGAATTGTAAAATGATACAAGAGATATGGGAACGTGTGTATGTGTATAGCTGATTCACTTTGTTATAGAGCAGAAACTAACACACCACTGTAAAGCAATTATATTCCAATAAAGATGTTAAAGAAAAAAAGAAGACAGTTTGGTAATTTCTTTAAAAGTTTCACATATACCTACCTTATGACCCAGCCATTCAACTTCTACATATTTATCCAAGAGAAATGAAAGCCCATGTTCACACAGAGACTTTGTTTCGGAATGTTTATAGCAGCCTTATTTGTAATAGCAAAAGCTGGAAACAACCCACATGTTTATCATCAACTACTGAAAGGATAAAAACGGTGTGGTATATCCATGCAGTGGAGTACTTACTGTTCAGCAAAAAAAGGGGCAAACTACTGATGCATGCAACCACAGGGATAAATCTCCAAATCATTATGCTGAGTAAAACAAAGACCAAAAAATGTGCATACTGTATGATTCTACTTGTATAAAATTCTAGAAAATGCAAAGTCATCTATATAGTGACAGAAAGCAGATCGGTGGTTGCCTGGGGGTCAGAAGTAAGGGAGAAAGTGGATTTTGAGGAGGCCCACGAAACCTTTTGGGAAAGATGGAGATATTCAATATTTTAATTGCAATGACAGCTTCCCAGGTAAAGGCATATGTCATAACTCTCCACAGTTGATGCTCCAGATGTGTACAGCTTGTGTTAAATTAAACCTTAGTAGAGCTGTAAAAAAATATGAGTGCTGGATGCCAGTGACTCTTCTGTGTCTAGATTAAGAAATTGCCTTCCACGTGTTATGAAAGCTTGGTTAGAACTCTGGCCTTAATTTCACTGTGTAAGATGGGCATCTCAGTGGTCCCCAGAGCCAGTGTTGGAGTCCCATAATGAGAGGACCGGAAGCACCCTTAAAATGATGAAAAACCTGACACCCAAAGAGGGAAGTGACTTGCCCAAGGTCACCCTACAACTTCGTGGCAGTCAGGCTTTGAGCTCAGGCACCCCGATTCGGTCACTGGTTTACAAGCCCTGGGAGGACACCATGGGGCCAGGAGGTCAGCTGTGGTCACAAGCTAAGGGGTCACACAGCCAGAGCCCAGCACGTGCCAGGCACAGAGAGCCCCACAGCGAACGAAACGCCCTGTATGGGCGTGAACTCTGCACCCGGCAGCCTAGTGGCGGTGAGCAGGAAGGGCCATGGCCTTGGACCCGAGCATTCAGACCGTCTGTGGGGAAGGACAGAGCTTGTGGGTTCTTGTTTTAAATTTCTAACTTCTTGCAAACCAATACTTCCATAAAACATAATACAATTAAATTACTAGAAAAATGAACCAAAAAATGAACATATAAAATACAAGCTCAAACTTTTATTATTAGATTCAGCCCACATAAAATCACTCGTTAAATTGCTCTGAAAGTTTCTAAGCATTTACTCTCCATTTCTGTACTTATCTCTTCATGGACCAGGAGCCAGCAGTGGTCTGTGTTCCTTCCTTCGAGAGGTACTTCCCTAAAAGATCCAAACTTTAATTACCAAGAAGTCAGGGCTGGCCTGGCTTTCTAAAGTCTAGGAGGATCACATTAAAACACGGGTTAGATTGAAATGTGACACGTGAGTCATCATTTGAATTGAGACTGTACAGACATATATTATTCATTGTCTCGAGCAATAAAAACTCACAAAATGCCTAAGTGCCCTCAGGCCCCAGAATAGCTTAATTGGGCTGTATTGCTCTGGGATGTCAAGCACCTGTTTAATTCTGAGTTCTGCAGTTTTACATCAGAACAGGCCCAGGAAGAGGCATTTTCCATCTTCGGTCCCTGGCTCCTGTCTCTGCTTGAGTGCGTGAAGGGGCCACCCCTCCCCATGGAGATCACCCAGGGGTTCAGATGCTGTGTGAGCAGCGGCCAGCACAGACGAGGAGAGGAAAGGAAGCCTCGTCTGGGGTTGGGAGAGCAGAGCCAGATCCCTGTCACCCACACCAAGGGGGCAGGCCAGGCCTGGGCTCCCCTGTCCTGAGTTGGCCTTGACAGTCGTGGAGGGTTGGACCCAGAATCACCCTGGCCGAGGCTCAGGGGTTAGGCCCCAGGAACAGGGGCACCTATGCCCCAGGTTCCTGGCCTGTGAAATGAGGGTTTGTCACATGGACTGCCTAGGCCAACGCCGGGCCGTGATGATGCAGATGAAGTGACGCAAAGCCAGGCACGGGTAGCAGGAGAACCCAGTGCCCGTACCGGGTGAAGCTGAGTGACAAGGCCTCAGGTTGGGGTGGGCCTTAGTGAGTTCTCACTCCTCTCCCCACCCCTCTCTGGCCTGGACTTGAGTCCCCTTGAAGTTCTCTGTATCAGCCCCCAAGCTGTTGTGCTTGAATGCCACAATTG